CCAGCTGCGCGCCTCCCGCCGAGTCACGGACGCCTGGGCGAGTAGCCGTTGGAACCGAAGGAGTGACGCCGTTTTTCTGGCAGCAGGAGGGGCTGGTCTGTCACCAGAAAAATTCAAATTGAAAGTCGGCGGGTGGTGCCGAAGCCTCTGACTGCACGCGACGCGCCTCCGGCCCTCACCCTGGCGCTGGAGACCGTGCCCCCAGCAGGTCCGCCCCGCCCGCGCCTGTCAGTTCTTTAGAAAGGAGACGCCGCACTCAGAACTTAGAGCCCGTGCGTCCGACCGTCCCGACCGCCCCGACCGTCCTTTCCTCACAGGCCTGCCCCCCGTCCTGCAGCCTTGCATTCCCTTGCATCTGGAATGCTCTGGCCCAGGTCTCCTGCCACCTGCGGGTGACTGGAAGGCCTCTTGTATTTGTTCTTGGACTAACCTGCTTGCCAAAGGTCAGTGAGCCCCACTTTCCACCTTGGGGGAACATGCCCCAGAGTGTGGGGGCAGTGCTTGCTCTGTAAGGCGAGCAGCGTGCTGAGAGGCCCCCAGCTGGTGGCTGGGGGAGAGCTGGCCTCCAGAGTGGCCTGTCCTCTGGCCACCCTTCCTGCCACCTGCCTCCTTTTGCTGGGTCTGTAGTGGCCTCCTTTGGAGGTCCTGCCTTCCACGGTGGGTCCCCACTCTGCAGTCAAGAGGACACTGTGGGACGGCCCGAGTGGGGGCTGCCTGGGGGCCTCCACAGGTCCCACGCAAGTGAAAGCAGGGTTTAAGGCAGGGGACATGGATGACAGACCTAGCCCAAGTTGTCCTGCCCCTGGGGAGCAGGTCCCACCCCCTTCCTTCACCCAGTATGCCCTCTAGCGCCAGATCTGGGTTTTCAAGAAGAGCTCTCCCAGGAAAATGAGGCACAGCCTGCATTGCGTGTACCGGGCAAGGCAGCTTCTCCCTGCTCCCCACCGACCCACAAGAGGTACCACACAGCCATGCCCGAGTCCCTTAAAGAGGGGAGTCCAGTGCTAGACCTAGTTCGCACAGTGGTGTGCTGTGTGGTTCTAGGTCCTACTGGGCCTCATTGACCACCCCAGGACTGATGGGGGGCTGCTGGTGGGCAGCCTCTGTTGTATATATACAAGCCATGCTCCAGTGGGATGGGTGGGGAAGGGCAGCTCCCCACCCTGGCTTGGCCCAGGCCACTGAAAGCAAATGCGTGCACTTCCAGGAGGGTGCAGTCCCCACACAGTCCAGGAGGGGCTGCTGACACGTGGGGCAGCACCCAGGCCGTCTCAAAGGCGTCTGAACTTGCCGTGTACTGCCCAGCCTCACCTCTCATTAGTGCTGACCTTGCTTCAGGCCTTCAGTCACTAGGTAGGCCCTGAATGGACACAGGACGTGGCCTTTGGAGAGCGAGCTGCTTGCAGTTGGTTCTTGTGTGTCACCGGAATTGATGAAGCCCTGCTTGGTGCCAGGGGCTTTTCTGGGCAACACAGTACAGAACCACACTGCACGGTCCCTGTCTGGAAGATGCTGGAGTTGAAGAGGTGGCCGAGAGGCTGAGACACACCACATGGGGCGGGGTGTGGAGGGGCTAGGAAGGCGGCTTTGAGGAAGTGACAGTTAGCTAAGACCTGAAGCTTCCAGTCTCTTGGAGAGAGAGGAAGAAGCACTCCCAGGGTGGGGATGGGGTCTTGTGCAAAGGCCCTGAGGCAGCAGAAAGCACAGGGCATCCGAGAATAGTGAGGTCACCGTGACTTAAAGCTTGAGGGATAACTCTTTGAACCCCGTCTCAGTCTGCCTCCTGGCCTCCCCTTCCCTCAGCTTTTCCTTCCTGCCCCAATTCACTTGACCTCAAGTGAATTGTGGTTCCAGGGAAGTGATCTGATTGGCAAAGTCTGAACCATCAGCCCTGGGGTGTAGGAAAGCTGATGCACCCATCTCCTTTGGCACAGGTCCCAGGACACCTGCAAAGAAGGAGGTATGGGCTAGTAGGTACCCCCCTATGCCTATGAGACCTGAGGCCTGGCTAATCTTGACCTGGAGAGCTCTAGGAAACCTCTTCCAGGCACTGAGACGCCCATTTCTTCTAAGGGGCAGCCGGCCTAGGAAGCCCGCCTGTGCTGAGCACCGGACAGGCAGAGTGGGAAGGAAGGGGCTGCTGAGGGCTAAATGCCACCATGGAGGAGGGCGCCTAGCTGTCACTCCTTGCATTGCCCTGCCCATCCTCTGCCTGGCCTTGTCTTGGACAGTCAGGGAGGCCATGTTGATAGTTTTTAGTCTTTAAGAGAAAGGTGTTGAGGGCAGGCCCCGTGGGCCTGTGAGCCCCGAAGCCAGCATGTCCCCCTGTGTCTGCAGCCCTGGCCTAGGCCTATCTATGAGCCAGCCTGACAAGGAGGGCATCACATCCCAGAAACTCTGGGTTGGCCTCGGAGATTAATTGGTGGTTTTACTTGCTGGCCGATCTGCAGAAACCAAACATCCAGGGCAGAGATGGGCTAGTGGCCCTGAGCAGGAGCTCCATCATGCAGCCTCCTCCTGCCCGACTGCGTCTCCAGGAAGAGGAGAGGGGCCGCAGGAGTCCAGTGTCCCCTAGTAACAGACTCGGATCTCTGGGCCAAGCTTTTCGGTGAAACCCCTCCCGGACTTAGTGTGCCAGCTGACGCGGAATTTCTGGTGTGGGTTCAAAGCTGGCCCTTTGGTTGGGCTGATGCCCACTGAGAGCTGGCTGTGTCCAATCGTCGCCCTTCCATGCTTTCAGAGGATACGGGAAGATTGTGCGGGAGTCCTCCCCTTTCTGCCTGAAGGGCCTGAGGGTGTTCCAGGCCAGCCTGTGATGGGCGCTGGTCCCATGCACAGGACATGAGCCCCACTGTGATGGCCTGGTGTCATGTGGGTGTGCAGATGGGTCAGGAACAGCTGCGGTGTCCGCTCTGGCTTCCACTCACCCGCTGCTGGGAGCAGCCCCCAAGCTCCCGGCTGTGCCCATCCATCTCTCCCCAGGTTGTGGGCACTGACCCCACCCACAGCCATTAGGTCTCGGCACGACACCCCTGACAGCAAGCAGAGATGCTTCTGCAGCTGAAAAAGATCCTCAGGCAGAGTCCTGGGAATCTCAACATGCAGCGAGCTTTCCCTGGTAGAGAGAGCACCAGGGGTCAGGCCAGGCCCTAGGACAGCGATGGCGAACCTATGACACGCGTGTCAGAGGTGACACGCGAACTCATTTTTTTGGTTGATTTTTCTTTGTTAAATGGCATTTAAATATATAAAATAAATATCAAAAATATAAGTCTTTGTTTTACTATGATTGCAAATATCAAAAAATTTCTATATGTGACACGGCACCAGAGTTCAGTTAGGGTTTTTCAAAATGCTGACACACCGACCTCAAAAGGTTCGCCATCACTGCCCTAGGACCATCTTCTACTAAGGAGACGGAGTCTGCTGAGGTGTTAGAGACTTGGGATCAGACTATGCCTTCCTCTGGACATGTCCATCCCATAAACCAATGAATCCCACTCCTTGTCCATGCAGAAGAGCTCTATAGGGCACCAGACTACTGATTCCTGGACTCCAGCCCTACCCCAAGCACTCAGTCCCCTGGACCCCAGACTCCACTTTCATTATGGGCCTTAGCTACCCTGAACCCCAGCCCCATTTCAGACCCTCACTTCCCAGGACCTACAGATTCCAGCCTCATTCCAGATCCCCCTTTGGATCCCACTTTCATTCCGGACCTCTGCCCTTCACCATCCCCTGGG